TCCCTACTCCCTACGCACTCACATTCTTCTAGATCAAGGACATATCTAGATAGTTGCTCAGGCAGATGAAAGTGCATTCTTGCCATGCTGCAAGCTGACTCAGAAGCTGTGTGAAGTTATTTCACGTTCTTCTGAGCCTCATAAATAAAGTCCCTGCTGAAAGGTACATCGTATTAGCTTGGGCTTTGTGCCTGATTTAGAGAGTTGGCACCTAGCTGAAAAACAGAGGAACACTCCAAAGTACTTTCTGTTAACAGAAACACATATATACATGCATGCCAACTACAGGAGCTTGTGGTTATAACCAGTGCCTTACTTCATGGTAAACATAAAGGGGTCATGAACCTCACAGAAAAATACTAACTCCAAGAAACCTATTTTTTCAGTTTACAATCTACTGAAATCCTTTGTTATAACTAACAGGCAGCAAGCTCAAGCAATCATCCAAAAAAACCAATTTCTTTAGCCTTTTTTGATATTCTATTTTTTTTTGGGGTAGCCATTGAAAAACTTGATTCTCCTGCACTAATGCTTCTGCACATAAGTATGAAACTTTATGTGCTATTATGTCAAAAGCTTTTGTAATCTCTACAGAGACATCATGCCAAGACAAAGTCTCTTTGTCGACAGCATCACTAACTTTGCAAAACCCAGTGCAGCCTGCTTTAACAGGATCTTTAAGAAAGACAGCAGGAAAAATACCACAACCATTTCTTTTGAATGAGGCTGGAAAAGAAGAGGTGTAAGAGGTGATGGAACTACCCATAACACACCACTGGCATTCACCGAGACTACTGTAAGAAATTAGTAATGTCAAGTGGAAGGCTTGGCTCTGAGCATGACATTTGAACAAGACAAAGAAAACAGAATCTCTTCCATGAATTTTCAAGAGAATTGTGAATGCTATCTATCTAGCAGTAATAGGTTTATTTTTCCAGGATGTGACCTCAAGCACCAGTTTGAGTCACTCCCTCACAAGCAGCTGTAGGAGAGCTACGTCTGGAAGGAGCCCCTACTCCAAAGGCTGGCTGCAGAGTAGGGGTGCAGCTCAGGGTAGTTCCTCATGGATAAGTCATGAGGAACTACCTCATGTTGCATTCCCTTCTCCTTTCTGCTCATAATTGGTTGAAAGTGAGGAGCAGCAGTGTCCTGACAGCCTGGAGTCAGTGAGGGGAAGCAGCACATCTATGGCATGTGGCAGGCTGGAGGACGATGAAGAAATAAAGGAAAGAGGGGACAGAGCAACACGTGGAAGAGACATGATAACTGTCATGACATGGCACATTTAATAGGCAGCCTCCTACTGCCACGTCCCAGGCTGCTGTGCCCACACACCTCTGTGTGTGTGTGATGTAGGGGGAGTGGGAGTGTATGTGATGCACTTGCACGTGAGTCTGCATCTGCATTTTGGGAAGGGGATGGCAGACTGAACGAGATTTGATAACAGAAATCTCAGCCTTGCTTGTGACATACTCGTAACTTTCTATGCGCTGTGGGTCACACATTTACAAGAATGCCATTTGCTTCTGGTAAAATCAACCACAGGAAGGGCAAGGAAGGATACAGTGGTGGTAAAATGCAGAACTCACCATCACCCTGAAGAGTGCAACGACAAAAACTGAAAGTCTGAGCTCCCCAAAATAAACTGTCTGTGCTTGAAGGCAGTAACAGCAAAAAGAGGAACTCTTGGTCTTAATTCTGCTGTTACAGAGGGACAAAAAGCTGTAACTACAGCCAGTGGTCACAAGCAAGCACCAGGAAAGTGAGCCAAAGTGGTTGTAGAAAAAATAGAAGTCAGATGAAACTATAAGGAGCACAGCAAAGAAATATTATGTAAATCAGGTCAGCTAAACCAAGTGGAAAGGCCAGCACCAAAAAGCCATTTTGACACAGCAAAGTGTAAGAGGGTGTTTGGAGAGTGGAGCCAGCAAAGGCATCCAGCAACAATGCCCTTACTTGGGAGGGACCATGCTTGTATCCTGCCCATCCCAGAGTGAGCAAAAGGGCACACATGGAAAGAGTTTGGGGTCAAAGATCAGCAGTCTTGTGCCAAAAATAATAGCTTTTAATTATCAGAGAGAAAAAGGTCCCAGATTGCCTCCCCTTCCATTGCTTTGTTTTGGTATGGGGCTCAACATGGGTGCAAAGCTATTAGAAACAGACACATGTGCTGTGTTACAGAAATGCTAGAAGAGGAAAACAGTTCCTTTTTCTAAAAAAGATGGATATTTTTACAGCATAAAGACCCAGTCATGCCATTTAGTTCTACAGAACAGGAAGGAGCTCAGTAAATTACTGCCACAAGCCTTATGCAACCAAAATCCTGAGTACAGATCAGACATTTGGAACAGCTGAGGAGTGGCTACACAGGCCTCCCCATATCTATGACAGAGCTTAACCTACACTTCAGCCAGCTAGTGTACCCTTGGGAATGACCTCTCAGGTAAAATGACCCCAGCAGTCACTTTGTATATAGTTTTAGGCCTATATTCTACTCCCCAAACTTTATTTTCCGTTGTCATGAACCCTCTTAAGTCACCACACACAAAGTATAGGCAGAAGACATAAAATACCAACATTTTGATGTGGCAGGCATTTAAATTTTCAAGGAGTAAATAGTCATACAGGTAAGGTGCTACAGATACTTTCTAAAAATGCTATAATCTTTGGTGGTTATCTTACGTACCTACAGTGCAAGACTGGTACATGGTCATCCATAATGACAATCTAATAACAAGACATTTATTTAAATGTCTGCAAGCACACAAGCATAATTTAGTAACTTTTTCCATTCTTTGCTTGAAAGAAACTGCGTAACATTAGTGTTAACTATAGATTGCTTTCTTTTCTTTTTCCATTGAGTATTCAATTCCTAACAACAATTAATAACTATAATGATCTCACCTCTGTGCCTGGCAAGGTCATGGAGCAGATCCTCCTGGAAAGTCCGCTAAGGCACATGGGACATAAAGAGGTGATTGGTGACAGCCAACGTGGCTTCACTAAGGGCAAGTCATGCCTGACCAATCTGGTTACCTTCTACAACAAGGCTGCAGAGATGGTGGATGGTAGCAGAGCAACTGACGTCATCTACCTGGGTTTGTGCAAGGTGTTTGACACTGTCCCACATGGCATCCTGGTCTCCAAACTGACAAGGCATGGATTTGGCAGATGGACCACTTGGATAAGAGATTGGCTGGATGGCCACACCCAGAGAGTGGTGGTCAATGGTTCAGTGTCCAAATGGAGGCAGGTGACGAGTGGTGTCCCTCAGGGGTCAGTATTGGGACCAGTGCTGTTCAACATCTTTTTTGGGGACATGGACAGTGGGATTGAGTGTATCTTCAGCAGGTTTGCTGATGATACCAAGCTGTGTGGTGTGGTTGACACCCAAGAGGGAAGGGAGGCCATCCAGAGGGACCTTGACAGGCTGGAGAGGTGAGCCAGTGCCAACCTCACGAAGTTCAACAAGGCCAAGTGCAGGGTCCTGCACCTGGGTCGGCACAACCCCAGGTACAAATACAGGCTGGGGGGAAGAATGGCTGGAGAGCAGTCCTGAGCAAAAAGGACCTGGGGGTGGTAGTAGATGAGAAGTTCAACATGAGCCACCAGTATGTGTTGGAGCCCAGAGAGCAATTGCATCCTGGGCTGCATCAAAAGAAGTGTGGCCAGCAGGGCCAGGGAGGGGATTCTGCCCCTCTACTCTGCTCTGGTGAGACCCCATCTGGACTGCTGTGTACAGCTTTGGTGCCCTCAGCACAGGAAAGATATAGACCTGTTGGAGAGGTCCAGAGAAGGGCCACCAAGATGATCAAAGGCCTGGAGCACCTCTGCTATGAAGACAGGCTGAGAGTCGGGGCTGTTCAGCCTGGAGAAGAGAAAGCTCTGGGGAGACCTGATAGCACCTTCCAGTGCCTGAAGGGGCTGCAGGAAAGCTGGGGAGGGGCTTTTCATCAGAGAGGGCAGTGATAGGACAAGGGGTAATGGTTTTAAACTGAGAGAGGGGAGATTTAGGTTAGATATTAGGAAGCAATTCTTCACTATAAGGGTGGTGAGGAACTGGAATAGGCTGCCCAGGGAGGTTGTTGATGCCCCATCCCTGGAGGTTTTTAAGGCCAGGTTGGACAAGGTTTTGTCCAACCTGATCTAGTGGTGGGGTTCCCTGCTCATGGCAGGGGGCTTGGAACTTGATGATCTTTAAGGTCCCTTCCAATCTTAATGATTCTATGACGAATGGGGAACACTCCCTGACCCTATCTGTTTATTTTTCCTTACTTAGGAAAAACTTTTTTTAAAAAATTGGACCTTTTATGGCCAAATGCTATAATTTATGATACAATAAAAACTAGTCTTTACTTTTTTCATGAAAAAAACCCCACAGCTTTTCAATATTCTTAACACAACAGAAAAATAAATTATTTTTATACCAACAGCTCTGAAGAATTAATATGCCATTAAATAAAAACTTTCAGTGTCCATTTTACCTTTACCAGTAGAGAAGCAAGAATTATCAGAAAAAAGCCTGAGGGCATGACAACATAATTCAAAAGGAGAAAGCAGTGAAAAGCTCCAATTATTCTTACTGGGTAATTAATACATCTCAAATAATATTCATCTTCTCAATGCAAGTTCACTTGTTATCACAAGAGAAGCTACTACTTAAATACACCAGTAAGGATAACTTGATGTATTATTTGATTGATATGAATGAGCTGTTAATGTCAAAAGAAGACAAAGCTAAGTGTACATTAAATCCTTTGCTCTATGTCATTAATCATACAAACAGAGCCTACCAAATCCTGTAGAGTGCCTACTCACACAGTGAGACTGCTCACTTGTCCTGCTCTCAGCAACTTTCCAGACCAAGTCTTGTTATAAACAAACATGGGTCAGAAACGACAAGAAGGGAAAACGTCCCTTTTTGATTAGACAGGTTTTTTGCAGAGCTTAACCACATTAATGCATTTTCTGGAAGCAATCGTGCAAAAAGTAAGACATACCTGATGTGCCAAAATATAGATATTATGGCCAACATCTTTTGGGGAGATGCCATCATCTCCATTCTCCTCCTCATGGTCACATTCAAGGCCTTGGTTATATGCGTTCTTCATCACATCCACCTGTAACACAAACCCAACGAAGGAGAGATGAAATAACTGTTGTTCTCAGGGAAAATGCACTGAACACTGTGTTTGAACATGCTTGCTTTGTTCAGCTCAAGCCTGGATGGGTGCCCTGCAGCCCTTGCAAGAGTGAGCACTCTGAGAAACGCTTTCTGAATAAAGACAAGCTTGAAGTATTTATGAAGCTCCAAACTGCTGCATTTCTCATGAGCAAAACTCCTGCAACCACAAGAAAAGGAACAGGGACATTGAGCCTTTCTGAACAGGTATTTTCACAAATGCTTTTAAAGACTGATCTACAGATACCACAGGTAGAGCCTTGCAACACGTAGCCATGATCTCCCGCTGACAAGAGCTGGCTGCAATGTCACTCAGCATTCTCTGCACTCTTCAACAGAAAAAAATCACTAAACTGAAAAGGAAAGGAAGACACAGGTCTGGGCAGGGTGTTGAAGTACTTAAATACTCAAAAGCCTCTTACAGGACCAACAGGAGGAAATCCTCTGTTTCCTACACAGGGCCTGATCCTGCAGTTGTACCCTAGGAATGGTGTCATCATGCTGACGTGCCACCATGGGGATGGCTCCCTGAAACCAGCAGGTCACCAGGCTCTGCCCAACTGCAGGAGCCAATGCTCACACACCTCCCAGCAAAACAGCTTCTTCAGTCACTGCTGTTACACGGTCAGTTGGATTTGAAACAATTTCTCCAGACTTACAATCTATTTAAACTTCTGGAGACCTACACACACATTACGGTTGTTCCAAAATACAGCAACAACTGCTTGTAACATGTTTGCTCATGAGACATATATCTGTAACATACAACGTACACACATATAATGTAAATGCCTATGAACACAGTTCTGTTAGCACTGTTTCACAAACTGCACAAGCCTGATTTCCCCGACCCTGACAAAGTGTACTTGAAGACAGTCTACCAGAGAATGATAATTCAGTTAGGAAACAATTACAGAAAAGTGCTTGGAACGGATAAAAATAATGAAGTCGTAAAGACTGAAATCATGCTTGCTTGATCCTTTTAAAGTGCTTTTTGTGAATTAGTACTATCCTGATACATCGTGTCACTATATGCTGCCAACACTTTTTAGCTTAGATGCAGATAATTTTAAAAATGTTTTTATGACAGATTTTTTTTTCAGCCAAAAGATTGATGAATATTCAGAAGTTTTCTCACCAGTTCTCTTGGTCTCATGTTGAAAAGGATTCTTTCTGCATTCTCACTGTCATGCCTGCTTTCCATAATAGCCAGTAAAAGCTTGGAGGCATTGTTCTAGAGATAAAAAAAACAAGTTAATGCAAATTTTAATATCTATTTCATGGATTAACAACCCTTGCATTTGTTTTAATTGAGATTACGAGGACCACTTTTTTAGCAGATAAGATTTTAAGCTACTCACATCTTTTATTTTACTGACATATTCAATAGGGTTTTTTCCCCATTTTAATGTCAGCATACTGTTAGGCTAACTAAACTTGCACGCTATCTTGGAAGAAATATTTTAAATATTGAAAAATATTCTACTCCAATGCAGAACTTTTTTCTATACTATGCAATCAACAAAATCCTATTTCCTCCTCTTATTGCCCACGCAGCGATTTTTGCCATTGCTTTCTGTTAAAACAGTAGTCAACACTGGTGATTGCAAAATGTATCACACAAAAAGGTTTCAACATTCATAAGGAAGTTTTCTTTACACTTTGGTTTTTATGAAGTCTGACCAGTTATTATTTGAAAGGTGGTAAAGTGTTTTTGAGCATTCCTGGAATTATGTTTCACTACCAACTATTCCAGGGGAGGATTGTATAAAGATATACCTTACTTTGTCAATCAGCTGCTTTTCACTCAGGCCTCTCCCAAGAATTAAATAGCATGAGCTTTAGCAGTAGTAACCCAGTAGTGCCTTAGACTTCAGAGGTCTGACTCCCAGTTAAAACAGATGCTGTGAACAGGAGGGGAAGAACGGGTTTGGAGGCTTGACTGGCAGAGAGTGGTTGCCTTGTTCCCCCTGCCACAGCATCTCCCCCCCCATCATCCTCAGTTACAGATCAAGCTGTGTGAATGCATGGAAGTCCCATGATGTGGTAGGAGCCAGTAAAACTCTCAACCCACCATAAAACCTCTTTCTCAGCTGCTTATTGCCTGATGTCAGCAATTCAAACTGAAATTTGTCAGCCAGGGTGTGCCTCAGACAATTAGTTTGGATCATTTTGCAGGAAAAAGGTTCAGCTGCTTTTGGGGCTGAGGCAAAACTGAAGATGTTACTTTCTGCATGTTCAAGCAACTTCTGTTTTAAGCAGCCTTTGTATTTCCAAGTTTTGATAGCAGGGCTAACAATCTGAAGCACTAGGGGCCAAGATGACACAATCATGCAAGCTGTAGTCCCCAGGGCATCCCAGCCAAATCTGTCCAACTCATGAGCCTTTTTTAAAAATTACCATTTGAATACTATACTGTAGCAACTTGTTGGAATTTCATAGCTAAATCCCTCAGAGTTTATTCCTTGTGGGCACAAAATCACAACAAAATTATGCAAGCTGGACCACATTTGAGGCTCTCCTTTGGACTGAACTTTCAGCAGACTCACTCCCTGCTCAAAGCAGCTTGCTAAGGGCTATGTCAAGCTGAGGTCTGAACACCTCCAACTGGAGGAATGTAGGATTAAAAGTCAGCAGCAGGAGGAAGGAGAAGATGGAAGGAGAGTGGATTAACAGAATGAAGGTTTATACATAACAGGAGAATGAGGATCTTCTAGGAGAGGAGACTTGGAGTTGCCTGAGAAGCCAGAAGAGAGGAGGTAGAGGACTCTGGGTCATCAACAAGCAGCTTTTTGCTTCTTGCTCAGCAAAAGTGGCATTCCATAGCTTAGAATTAAAGGAGGCAGGAACATCCTCCAATTGTTTGTTTTTTTTCTCTCTGATCATTTGCACCTGACATTGAGACATTAATTTGGCTACTTGTTCTTCATTTTCAGCATGCTTTGACACCTTAGATCTGATTTCCATTCCCAGATATCAATGAGGAAAACACATCCATTACTCCAAAGATAAAGTTCTTCATAGCATGTTGATCATAGACTGGTTTGGGTTAGTAGGGACCTTACAGATCATCTAGTTCCAACCCTCCATGGGCAGGGACACCTCCCACTAGACCAGGCTGCTCCAAGCCCCATCCAACCTGGCCTTGAACACTTCCAGAGAAGGGGGCAGCCACAACTTTCCCAGGCAATCTGTGCCAGTGTCTCATCAACCTTGTAGCAAATAACTTCTTCCTAATATCTCACCTAAATCTACCCTGTTTCAGCTTAAAACTGTTCCCTCTCATTCTATCACTACTTGTAAGCAGCCCCTCCCCAGCTTTCCTGTAGGCCCCTTTAGGTACTGGAAGGCCATTATAAGGTCTCCCCTCCCCAACTCCCTCAGCTTGTCTTCATAGCAGAGGTGCTCCTGCCCATTGATCATCTTCGTGGCCCTTCTCTCCAACAGCTCCATGTCCTTCCTGTGCTGGAAGCAGTACTGCAGGTGGGGTCTCACCAGAGCAGAGGGGCAGAATCACCTCCCTTGAGCTGCTGGCCACGCTTCTTTTGATGCAGCCCAAGACACGGATGGCTTTCTGGGATGCAAGCACACATTGCTGGCTCATGTTGAGCTTCTCGACTATTAACACCCCCAAGTCCTTTCCTTAGGGCTGCTCTCAATCCATTCTCCACCCAGCCTTTATTCATGCTTAGTACTGCAAAAAATCAGTTCTCAGGTGCTACAAACAGGGCAGCCCAAAGTACTCCTGGCTTTCATTTCTCATTACCTGGGTTCCCATCTCAGCTCCTCATATGTATTTTGACAAAATACATTAAAATGTGAAGTAACTAGATGCAGCAGAGTAAGGTGTTAGGAGAAAAGCCAAAAAGACACCCATATTAGACTTCCTCTACTGACATCATCTCTATCCTACCACTATACAACATGTCAGATATTGAGGTCACACTGTGTGCCAAGGCTTAAATACTAGTCAGTAAGGAAGGCCAGGGGGTCATCATCAAAATAACAAAGGGCAGAACAGAACACTGGCCATCTGTGCACTCAGTGAATGCTGTCTACCCTGCTCACTAAATTATTTGGGAGTCCAGTGGAAAATATAATCCATGAAAAAGTAATTAAATACCACATCACAAACTATATGGAAAACAAACTAAATTAGGATGGCATGGGAGAATATAATTCTGCATTGTCTTTGCTCTGGTTGGGGGGTATCAGTTCAGCAAATAATGTTCCCTGAACATTGTGTCTGAACTTGCTTGCATGTGGAACTGCCTGAGTTTATATACTTTGTATTTTGTATTTTTACTGAAAATTTACGTATATCCAACCTCAGAGTTTCCTATGAACACTGACAGATTGTCAATGTGGAACATTAACTGGTAAACTCACTGCTGTACTATTTTGATGTGGTGCCACTCAAAATAAAAGCCAGTAACTTCCTAATTTGAATCTAATTCTTGACATCACATCTGGCCCAGCACTGTGTCTAGTTCTGGGCTTTCCAGCAGGAGAAAGATACTACAGACTTAATGAAATAAGTGCAGTAAAAAGCCATAAAGATGACTAAGGGAATGAAGGATTTTTCATTTAAAGAGCAGCTGAAAGCTGAGACTGTTTAGCCTGGAGAAGAGAGGGCTCAGAGGGATCTTATCAACGTACATAAATACCTGATGGGTGGGAATGAAGAAGAGGGAGCCAGACTTCTCTCAGGAGTGGTCAGTGAGAAGATAAGTGGAAATGTACACAAATTAAGACATATTAAGTTTCATCTAAACACAAGAACTATGAGAGTGATCAAACACTGGAAAAGGTTGCCCAGACAGGTTGTGGAGTCTCTAACTGTTCAGATATTCAACTGCACATGGTCCTGGGAAACCTGCTCTACCTGACTTTGCTCGAGCAGAGGGTTCGACAAGATGACCTCAAGAAAACCCTTCTAACCCAAATGACTCTGTGATTCTGTAAAATCAGAATAATTTCCACAGTTTGAACCTTTGGCATCATTCAACATAATTTAAGTAAGGGTAAAGCATATATAATAATCTATGAACGGGGCCAAACTGGTCCATGCAGCAATATCACTAAACTGTCTTTTTGGTTATCACATAGAAAAGATGTTCTACAAACATTGACCAGCTTCACGATGATGACAAATCAAAATTGCACTGGAGTTACTGTATCTAGGTCTTTACTGGGATTGAAATTTGGACTTCAAAAGAACTGTTTGCCTGTTCAAAGTTAAATGTCTGCTTAAGTGTTTTGCTTGAGGGAGGCCTGAATTACAGTGACATTCAGAAGTGTAATTGCAGTTATTAAAATCATGTGTAAAGTACTGTTGATTCAATGTTTCATTGTACATGATACACAGCTATATTAATTATTTTATTAGACATCCATAATGTTGCCAATATGATGCAATGCAGCTACCACAAACTATCTGCTGGGTTTGGGGAGGAAACAGATCATCTGCAATGGAAATACTTCATTTGGAAGGCAAGAAAAGGCAATAAACCAAGGCTCCTCCTGGACAAGTTCTACTCTGCTTGGCAGAAAGCGTAACTGCAGAGCTCCCCTCTGCAAGTAATGGCACGCAGGCCAGAGAAACTCATCTACAAGCTTATCCAGCTCTCCAGAGAATACACAACAAAACTGTAAGCCCTCCCACTCTGCTCTTCACCTTCCCACTCTACATTTTGTCCTCCCCCTCAGAGGACAATGAGAAGGGAAATAAAATGCAATTTACTTTAACCTCGTTTTCAACTTAATTTGACATTACAGGCCATCTGATATATATATTTGTTTTTTCACATCTTCAACTCAAGGAAATTTTTAAGAGCAGAGAATGCCTGACTTGTTACATGTCTGTACTGCACTGCCATTTATCAGTCCCCTGAGACTTTATGTACACAATATAGACTCTTCATGCTAGATATATCATGCCTATTTCATATAATTATTTCTTTTTTTACATGGAGGGCATACTCCCAAACACAACAGTGAGTCAAAAGGCCTGTGGTAGAGGGCCTAATAAAGATTTAGAAGCTGAGCTGAATTAATTTGCAACATTTGGTGTCAAAGGTTGCTTAGTATATAATGCTATGGTAAGATTAAGTAAATGTCAGGTTGCCTAGACCTCTTGTTTAGGTATGTCTTCCATTATTACTCAAATTTAAATATACAAATTTACATTTACTGTACCTTTAGCTGAAGCACCAAGTCCATACAGTATTTGCCAAGAGGATTTATGTCATTCAAGATGAGTGCAATTATAATATCAATCCCATTAGACTCATGAGTGGCTATGCAAGTCTGCAAAACAAGAGAAGAGTTGGGGCAGGGGTAAATAAATGCAGGGAAGAAGGAAGAAAAACAGGGAGACAGGATGGGTGGAGGAAGGGAGAGAGAGAAGATGCACATCAGAAAATTTCTAAAACAGGGACCCAGAATTTGAAAGATGAAAGCAGAACAGCTTAAAAACATGTCACAGGAGGTGGTGGGGGAGACTGGTGTAGTACAGAACTAACCTCAACACTACCAGTAGTGAAGTATACAGCTGGAAAATAAAAAGATAGTGCAAGCTAAAATATGCTTGCAGTGAATCTTGCAGGGTTTGGCACCAAGTGGTCCAAGTTAGCAACAGCACACAGGAACACTCTCAAACCATTCTAGGATTCTATGTATGCAAGGTACTTCTACAACAACAACTTGAAATCCAGTGTCACAAGGTGAGGTTAAAGCCATTGGCCCACTGACATAAGACATTAAACTCTCTCCAAAAGGACTAGAAACCCTGCTTGTAGGCAGATATACTATAAAAACAATTTATATTGAGTTCTGACCTAAGAGGACTGCTCAGGTCTTATGCAAGCTTGAAGTGTGTTAAACCCAGCCACAGCAATTGCAAGTGAATTTATGTTAAGAACACGGGAAGGTTTACAATAAGCACACACATACCATACATTCAGGTATATTCTTCTGCAACCACAAATTATTTGAGCCTTACCTGATTTTCATGGCATGGACCTTGGCAATACTCAGTCAAACTTTCCAGCGTCTGATTCACAAGAGCCACGTTCCTCTCATTGATGTAAAGCCCCAGTAAGCCCAGTCCGCCTGTTGTGCTTCCACAGATACAGTCCAAAAACTGAAGGGTCTCACAAACAAGGTTGTAATTTGTTTTATTGTTCTGATGTCTTAAAAAATTCTGGTGGATGGAGAAAAGGAACATCAAAAAACAACAAAATCCCAAAAGTTAGAGTCAAGTCAAACACACAGTCTTTTTAATGTAGAAGTTAAAGTGAACAATTTATGACCACATGACCACTGTACCTTAGTGCTGAAATACACTACACTGTAAAAAACATATTATGCCTTAGTGCAACATTTGAGAGCCATTGTCTGATTAAATCAGTAGAGAAAATAGGGCTTAGGAAAGTAAACTTTGCAAACATCTTCAGTGGCCTTACGTCTTACTTAAGTCCTGCATGTATCTCCTATCATCTTTTGTTAGTAGGACCCTTCTCTTGGAAGCTTCTTGCCCTCACAGTTGAGCAGGTATAGAGGCACATTACCACTGCTCCTTCACCATGTAAGTGCAGAACAACAGTATAGTTCAAACCATCCCAAACACTCATACAGGGGAGGCTGCTGGACACAGCACTGAGATATATTTGCAGAAAATTAATTTTGCAAAGGTTGCTATGGGGACAGTAATTTATACCAGAAGAACTGATAGCAGGGACACATGTAGCACCTTAAAGTCTTCACTCAGAACACCTAAGGAAAATAACAGTACCCAAACTTTGCCCAGAAACTTTCTGTAGTCTTCAAGCCTGTGGTACTGGTTCCACCAGTTGTGCACAGAAACCATATTAATGGGGATATTAGACACCTCTCAATTCCATATAACTATGCTGTGGTCCCCAAGCAATTCTGAGGACATAAACAAAAGCTGCAACAGAGCATGCAAATGGTTCCTGAAAAGGTTTATTTTATCCCTTGGAACAAAAGAACACGGTATTTTAGACAATCCCTGTTCTGCAACAGGGGCCAGGCACAGGCATTTGCTTCTTCCCTTATGAAGTTCCAACTCCTGCAATACTTCTTTTGCACCTCAGCACAAAAACCAGTTCACCTGGAGCTCTCGGTTGTGGTTCTCGCACAGCAGCTGAAGAAACCTCAATATTGGCTGCATGATTGCAATAGCAGGGCTCATGATAGCTTCTTCTGCAGACTTCTCTTCTGCATTGGCAGCATCTGCTCCTGAGCCCACAAGATCTACTTCTGGGTCCATTTCTCTTCTATACACAGAGTAAGCCTTGGATGTTGCAGAAGATGCTTCTGTTAACTGTCCTTTCATACCCTCCTTCAGATGCAGGGTTGAATCCTTCACTGAAAAGAAGACAATTTTCCTTATTTCTTAAACTCTCTCTCCTCATTTATTAAACAGTAAGAAAACAATAATAATGAATGCGACTTTTTCTTTGTTGGTGCCTAACTTTTTGTAGGCCTCTAGGCAACTTGCAAAGAATATCAAAGGAACATTGATGCAGGGTTAGCATGTTCCAAATAAACCACAAACCAGAGTGAAACAGAACATTAAAACAAAAAGCCCTACTATTTCTCTCCCATATACAATAAATGATGAGAACAATGGAAGGACCACAGGGTGGGAAATCAATTCCTGTGCTTGCTCTTGTGAAATAGCCCCATTAGCAGCAGCTTCTACTTCTGTTTCTCTAAAAATATGGGTCTATATCATCTGCTGGTGTAAAATGGCATAGCTTCAGTGATTTCATCAAAGTTAATTCCTTCTAACCAGCTTAAGATATGGCCTATAATTTAGAGAAAAACAGGCAAACAATACAAATTAGCAATTCAATTAATAGTAAAGCTTATCGATCAACATCAATACCAGTGGTGCAGCACATGTGGTTTGAATAGAATGCACTTCTCCCCTCTTTTACATGTGTGCCTCCTTACCTCTCTTTTTGGGAACAGATATGGTTAGGTCACTATCATCATCTTTCTTTTTGCTCCCCAAATCAATAGTGTTCACTGTTACTGTTGATCTTATCTCCTGCTGAGCAGCCTTCATGCGGTCATACAGGACTTTAAAGAATTTTTCTGACTTTTTTTGCTCCTTCAGTTGCTGATAAGTAGAATACTGCAAAAAATACATTCTTTAGATATGAATCTTCTAAGGAAGAAGAAATAAAAAATGTACACTATTTTTGTGAAACAACTTATGAATAATTACTTCACTCACAGAGAACAAATGCTGGCTACTGCCTGACAAGTTCTTTCACAAAGTGATTTACAAGGCTGGTAACAAAGATGGATGGTAAGATCTTAACATCTGGATAAAATGGTAAACACTGCTATTTGCAGTCTTTTAAATACCACAATATTACATCTGAAGTTATATTACTTTGTGACACTCTCCATTTCTCCAGCCATTCTGGAGCTGTAATATTCCATCTAAAATTAACAGTGAGAAGTAATTGCTACTATGCAACAACAACAAGAAGCATAAAACATCCAATGTGTAATATTACAGCTTATATAATAAACATTCTATGTATTTCAGGCAGAATTAAAGTTAATATTTTAGGTTATTATCTCCAGTCCCTGAGTGTTGCTGTCAAGCAGGCTGGGTACCTTTTTCAACAGTTTACAAACTCTATCTTAGAGTAGAAGTCTTTTACAGCCCCCTAACAATTCATTTTAGAAAGCTGTAGCAAAATCTCACTTTTTAAACATTTTTGGACACTCTCTAAAGGACACAGATCATATTACCTAAACGTTGCCAGAAAACCACTTATTTTTTTGCTATTATAACCTTGAAAGTTTTATCTTTAAAAAGAGAGATGTGAAATAACTAGAGATAATGCCTGAATGGCAAAGACCAGATTAAAAGAGGCACTGCACTGCACAGAAAGGGACAGTTGAAAAATGCTTTATTCTCCTGAAGAGTCTGCACTGTGAGATACTGCATAATCACAGGGCACATTTACATTTGTTTTATAGAGTTACATATTACAGGGATCCACTTTTCACAGAACTCATAGCAAAAAGGTTCTTTAGATTTGTTTCCAGACTATGTGCATATGAAAATCAATGTGATCAAGTAAATGAAATAAGTACCTGTGTCTGGGTATTTCCACCTTCAAGCAGTGCAATACCAAGCAAAATACCTTCTGAGAAAATTCTGTCATTTTTGGTGTTGACTATAACATCGATGACTAATTCTGATGCACCTTCTTTATCCAGAAGGCACTGAATATCAAACATGGTTACCCCGGACTTATCTGAGTCTTGTCCTGAAAATCCACCTGCAAATTAGACAGACATCCCATTCATGTTTGTTTCACATATGTATGTGAAAATTAATCTATTCATAATAATAATTTGTCTTACACACACAGTAGCAATGTAATAAATTCAATTTTGAAATTCTGTTTGAGACAAAATTCCCCTTGATCCAAAGATTTTTATGTGAAACTGCAATGTTAAGCTCCAAGAATAAGAAATAAAACCCTGAACCATTGTTCTGTTGTAATATTCAAACAATAAAGAAGTTGGAAATGACCCTAATTTGTCCACCAAACCCCTTTTTAATTCCACTGCTGCATATGCTAAATTGTGTGTATGATCAGTGCTCCGAGACCACTTTTCAGGCCTAAGCTATACAAAGATTGTGTACTGGTAAATCCACTCTGATTACAGGTATGACCTTCTAGCTAAATGCTTTTGCCACTAGAACTCCTAGACTACTAACACCACAATAATATTCTTTAAGAACAGAGATTTGAGTTAATCCAAATTAAGTTTTGGATGGTTAAGCATGGTTTTAAGGAATTCTGTTAAATTGTATTAGCTCATTAAATCAATCATCTTTTATTATCACAGATTATCATCTTTCCTACTATACCTACTTTATTATGGAGATGTAAGTACATCTGCTTCATTAGGAAAAATATACTACTGCTTTAATCAGTCAGCATTGCTTTGATTGAAGTTATTAAAATGGTTCAGACTTCATGGTGAAGCCACACACACACGTATACACACACAAACTTTATAGAGCACTAAAAATAATAGTCAATTTTTACTCTCTTGTTTGTTAGGAAGCAAAATTTGGTGTACAGTATATTGTCTGTAAACATTTCAAGTGTGTACACAGAAATAGTCAGGGAGGATCAGCTGAGTAACATTCAGAAATGCCCACAAATCTGGGCAGGCTTTAACAAATGCTGAAAATGCAATAGCAGGTACTTCGACCTGACTCAAAACCCAGGTTCTGCCTCACTTCCTGTGTCAGACATTATTTTGGGTTTTCTGATAAACCACCCTAGAGTAACTTCCCATGGCTTCTAGAACAGAATAATGAAAAAAAAAATTAAAAATTGTTATAAGGAACCTACAGAGACCATCTACTCAAACTTTCTGCTCATGGCAGTTATAGCAGGTACATCAGAGCCTTGTCTGGTAAAGCTGTAACATAAACTGACACATTCTGCAGCCTCTCAGGGAAATCTGTTCCACTCCCTAATCCTTATCTTTGTGAGATGTTCCTTATACCTTTTTTTTAATATATCAAGAAAGCATCTGGAATTTATTTTTTTTTTAACTAAGTGTCCAGAATTTCTGGATGTGGATTTACTGGTAAATTAAAACGGTGTTACCAATTGAAACTGAATTGGATGACTGACTGAGGGGCATGGGAAAAGTCCCTACCTGGATATTGCCAAATGCACAGCAGATCTGAGACAACTGTGTCCAACTTAAAAATAGGAAAAGTCTGGTATTACCTCTCTTCTAGCTGGTTACAGACTGTGTTTGATTTATTTACTAACTGAATCCCTGGAGCACTTCCAATGTGCCTATTAGAAAAAACGGTGCTGCTAATTTTGTTCTCTTCAAATTATCTTTGTTGATTTACCTCCCACTTGTGCAGTTTTGCTGTAGCTGGTGGACAGAGGCCCATTCATACCACTTCCATATTCTCCTTTAAAGTAGCGATACAGGAGTATTTTCCTTAAAGTGTTGCCCTTTAAGAGAAAGATTAAAAGCTCTTTAACATAGATACATAATTTATTAGGTCTTTCTATTGTAATTAGTAAGCATACAAATAATAAAGTAGTCCAGAAAGCAAACATCTAATGATCTTATCTAACAAATGTCATGGGGAGAATTCTAAAATAGTGTTGGATAAACTTCCTTTGAAGTTTCTTTTAGCCTTATTGATTATAAATCAAATACCTCCATCTCAGTAATTTTTACTGGCAATCTGTAGGATGTGTATATTGAAACAAATTCTACAAAGAGTCAATGCTATGTACTCTGTGTCCTGCCCTGCCATGGCACTACTTTCTTCCTATTTCTGTAGCTGAGTAGCACCACTCCCTTTTCTCTGATGTCAGGTAACCCAGCTGATCATCGGAAAGAAGCCATATCACAGGAAATATTAAAACACATATGACATTTGATAGAATAGCTTAAAAAGCAATCTTTGTGTCTTCTTGTTCCTTTACTTCCAAAACCACAACCAGTCAAAATTTGCATACAGCTCTCAGAAGATCTTCCCCTTCATTTTGCTATCATCTGCAACACAAGACACATTAAGAGTGGGGGTACCGATTACTTGGCATTTTTATTTTGCCTTCAGCCTCCTGGAAACACCTGCAACACTCAGCTTTACAGGTGCAGTAGGTGACACAACAACTGTAAGTGTATGTGTAATCTAAGATTTTATTAAGAAAAAAGTATGGCAAGGCCTCTGATGATAACCAGAGAAAGGGAAAAACTACTAATTTAAACAGCTTGGCAATAAAACAGGATGACTTCTTCCTTACCTTTACTGACTACTGGTTTTAATGAAAAACAGTTATCTAAAAATATATGCACTGGGAGCAGTATCTAGCACTGCCCAGCTCAACAGAGCCTGCACATGAGTAGAGCAGTCAACTTCTCAAGCAAAACGTCTCTGTGGCTACCACAGGCAACAAGGAGTGTGGAAGGCAAGTCTCAGATACACTTCAAAAAGCACTACTCATAGTCCCACTTCTCTGTTAACTTAGCAGCATTTCCAAGAGTGACCACATGCCACAGTGGGGCTTCACTGCTTCACCTCAAGGACAATGGACTTGTCCATCTCAAACAAGTGCTAGAGTGCAGTGTTCTGTATGGGTAGCCAGACAACACAAACGAGCCATTCATTCCTAGTTCTCATATTTTGATGTTTTCATTTGATAATAGTTTATACAGAGTTCCCTGAAACAGCCAAGGGAAGTACAAGGCCTATGGTAAAATATCAAAAGCCCTAAGAACAAGCAAAATAAAAAGCATCATCTACACATCTGTGGTGCCAGGGAATGTATTAGGTGGGTTTTTCAGCTGAGCTTAAGACAGTATGTTCTATGTTATAGAGGAAGACAACCAGAAGCATCTGAGGATCTCACACAGAGACAGATTCCTTCCTAGCTTAGCCTGTGGGGGAGTTCAACTTACATGCATGGACAAGGTACACTAACAAAGCTCGTAAGAGATTTTTAGAGATGGCTAAGTGCACCAGCTCCTCCTGCTCAACATCCTGTGTCTAGCTGTGACCTAATTCCAGTATCTCAAGAGGAAAGTGAACCTTATTTTTCACATCTCCTGAAGAAGCCAAACATTACTCAAGTTCCCACCAACACTGAGGAACATAAACTAAAAACCAGGATTAAGGTACCTTTTCAAACTCTCTCAGGCATATATGTATATGTGTGTATATATATGTATATATATATATATTTAGTTAGTTTCTCACAGAATCGTAAAATCGTAACAAAAATCAGATCACAGAGCACAGAAACCCTTCCTAAGTTCCAGACTCAGACCTGATACAGAATGGGCACTGCATTGAGACAAGATCTTATAATCAGAAAAGCTGGCATTTGCCATACCATTTGATTAACCACTCAGCTTGAGGCCACATCCTCAACCAGCAATCGATGCAGTCAGTTGATGACTAACAGAGCACCATTGGTAAATTATATAAACAGTCACAGTGCAGTCACGGGAATAAACACCAAAAGCCATCTATATATAGTAAAGAATAATATCAGTGGTCACAAGCTTTATTATTCAATCAAAACAGCCTTTATTTTATCAGGAAGAACATTTAAGACCATGATACAGCCTTCGACTAATAAACTGAGTGATTTAGCACTTGGGTCTTATTGCCTGGAAATGATTAACTGTTGGTACATCTTAGATCTTCTTCCTGACTTGCTACCTTCAAAGACAGAAGGAGGTGCAGTGATATAAAGAGGTTTCTCCAGCTGTTTATGGAAAGGAGAATCCTGTTCCACTCATATCCAAATATGGCACAGACTTCTCTACTTGTCCCAAAGAGTAATTATTAGGATTCTTGCTCTAACTCCATCTCTCAGACTTCCACAAAACCAGAAGCTAAAGTTCTCAGAAGTTAAAGTTCTCAGAAGCTAAAGTGTCAGAAGTCAAGGACACCGTGTTTACTTCTGCTTTGCCTGAAAGCTGTGCCAAAAGTGCACCCTCCGACTCAGCCCACGTATTTGCAAGCTCAGGATCTTCACCCCCTTTCTGATGACCTCAGGCAGCCACACAGCTTCCCCAAGTCTTGCGAAATTAGCTGCCACTACAAAGAATGAGAAGAGCCCAGGAGTATGAACTGGAGCTGAGCAGTGAGCAAATGCTCCAATGATGTATCAGAAATATCACCTCCAGCACATAACTGTGTGAGACATCATGCTAGAAAATGCTGGAAAGACCGGCTCTTAGGAAAGGTGCCAATCCTGCTGCTGTAGGTATCTGAGTATGCTTTTAAGGGAATGCCAGAAAACATAGTTAAGGACAGCCTTGTCATGTGTACGAGACAAAACGCAGCCAGGGCAAGTGAGACAGCCATGTCACTGATGTCCTTGTAAACAATTTCCTAACTTAGTACAGCTTCAAAATTAATACTGCCTAAAAACAACTGATCCCAGCAGTGGCATGAATGAGCAGTTTACAGCCACTATTACTGCCACATTACTGAAGCAGAGTTCAAAAATAAAAGAACACTAGGCAGCACAGAGATATCTCCCTCGACTACGTTTCTACACATGGCAGAAGTCCCGACCTTTCAAGCTGCATCTCTCCCTGGCTGGTGACAATACACTTTCTTTTATACCTCTTCTTGGGGTATGGAAGTGGCATGTAAACATCACTCAGCTGACTGCAATCCTTCTATAATGGCTAGAACATTGTATAGCTTTGAAAAAAACACAATGAAACATAACAGTCTTATTGTTAGCCATGAATACCACTGTATTGTCTAACAGAAGCTAGGATAAAGACTGAGGACACAAGAAAGCAACAGCTGGTTATTGTTGTTGCAGTTTTAAATAGCTAGGGATGGACAGACTAAAGTTTCCAATAAGGAAAAATTATTCCAACTGCAACATGTAGACACAAACAAGTTACATTTTCTCGGTCCATGTTTCATTATATTAGTTGGTCTTCAAACTCAAGTGTCTTAGTACAATGGTTTTCCTTCTCTGAGTCTGGATAGGCAGGTTTCACCTAAGGACGGGGTGTTCCATGTGGAGAAGCAAGGAAGGAGAGAAGGACGTGGCTTATTGTGGATACCTACCATCAGCACCAGCTCGCTGCATAACAATGTCAAAAATTATTTGTCCTGTCTTATATAACTTTGCACACTTCTTAAGGAATTGGTGTGATATTTATGATGTTCAGAAGGCTGAACTAGGTGATCTGGTTTTCACTCTACATTAAAATAACAAAGTGGAAGCACTCAGATTATCAGTGATAATGCAAATAGGCAGCCATGTCCAACAAATATTCCTACGCTACAGTGGATTGTGCTGTGAATAAACTGCAGCATTTGTCCAGAAGGATGCATGGAATTTAGGCATGTTAAATCTTCAGAATCGAATAACTCACAGCCAAGTATAAAAGACAAGCTGGCTGGGATCTCTGGTCTACTAGTATAGGTTTTCAGAAAGTTTGGAACAGAAAAAAATTCCCAGAGAACTTTTACTGATATCAAAACCCACTGTAGTGAGTCAATTCTGGAAAAAACAAAGGAATGGCTGATTTTGAGCTCCTTAATACAAAATTAAAGTAAGCTACCATAAACCAATGGCAGTTACAATACTGGCATCATGTTGTAACAATTGCCTCAATACGGATTTAAGAAAAATAGACCCTCTCAAGCTTCTGAAGATTATCTTCTGGTTTTACCTGAACACATTTGTATATAATTGTATATATATTTTCTTTTGCCATTAGTGTTTAATTAGAGCTGTGTAGTTTAGTTTTCAATCCAGCCAAGTCTCTCTCTTTTTCTCTCTCTCCTTCCCTACCTGGGTGGGAGGGGACTGAGAGTGTTGTTGTCACCCCTGAGTCAAACGGTGACACAAATAATGAAAATATCACTCTGGTACAGTTTGATAAATTGATGGGGTGTCACAATCCTGTAAGGCAAATTTTTTAATGAAGAAACTCCACAAGGGTATTTATCAAATTGCTTAATAGCTATGTGACTGACAGAATTCAATGTGCAATTTAAAGCAGTAAATCATAAATGAGTGGATGGGGTTCTAACAGGCAACCTCATGGAATACTTAACTTTCTGCCTTTTTTTTTTTTTCCTCAGTGAAATGGAAGAATACAGAAAATAATTCTTAATTGTGTTTAGAAAGGACACAAGAAGAAAAGAGTATGAGGTCAAGTCACTGATAACAATTTAGGCATAATTTATTAAACTGACTTGAAGAAAACAATGTGAGCCTCATTATGTCATGTCCAAACCTCTGTAGGTCTAGTTACAGAGATAATAAAATGCAGGCCACCACCAAATGGGGGACTCTTCTAGGAGGCCATGGCTCTGGGGAAGCATGGAAACTCTTTGAGAAAAAACAGTGGAATGACAAGTCCCAAAATCACATGATTCTGGAAAGGGTAACAAGATTATGTAGGATTCATTAGACTATCTTACTTCTCCACATACAGGGGCATCTTACTGTAA